AATTAAACAGGTGTTATACCTTTGAGTTGAATCTGAGCCCTCTAATCTGACTTTAAAAACAAATCTCTTGCTTGCGTGGTTTTTATGTTGGTTCTTTGTAGAAATTAGATATGGTAATTCATTCCACAGGCTTATAAAGAAATTATGATTCCTGTATGCTATAATTTAGGCATTTTCGATTTCTTGGAGACATACTCTCCTGAAAGTCACAGGCTTTGCTGAATTATACAGTAAGTCATTTGTTGCATTACAAGACTTCCATCAGTATGTTAGGACTTAATAAATTGTGAGTGCAGTGGTGACTTCTAGGCTTTTATTTTCATGATTAGACTACAGGAATAAAAATAACTAATTTAAAGTAACCCATTCATGGACTCATTTGAATGTCTTTAGAAGCAGAAGAACAAGTAGTTGCTGGGGAACAATCTTAATGGTGAAGAACTTAGCCATGAAATAAGCAGTTTTCGAACATTTTGCTATGTGGTGTGTAGTGTGAAGTCTCATCTCTCATCAACACAGTCTCTTCAGTGAATATTTCAAGTCTTAGTGGAGTTACATTCATTTTTAATAACTGGAATTTAGTGACTTTTTGTTCTGAGCCAAAAGCATGAACATACTAATTCTCTAACGTTTCTCTCAGGACTATTTTGCCCCAATTTTATTTCAAGAGGCAGCTTTATTGTGAGCTTTAGTCATTTCTTTGAGGTGAGTAGCAATATGTGATAGAGGCCCTGTGGTTCTGGAGATGACAACCTTGATTGACATATTACTGGTTATTCTGAGAACAAGATCTCTTTACATGATCTCATGTGGACTGTTAAGGACCCTTTCAAAGATGACCAAACTGAAGAGCAAAGAGACCAAAAGCACACAATGACTTTGTCAATATAAGGAAGAGTCCAGAGCTAATCATATTCATTTTATTTTTAAAATGTCTAAAATTTGTTTTTAGTTCAGTCTTAAAGGGCATCCCATAGGTAAAACTCAATATGATTTGGATCTGACTGACTTACCTTGGCTTAATTCATATATTTAATTTATTCTCTAATATAGTCTTTTTTTTTAGTAAAAATTTCCTTACAGGATTTACATAGCTATCTATTTGTCCTACAATAAAACAAGCTGATGCAAAGCCAAGATGTTTACTGGCCCTCAGTGCTTGTGAGAAAGCCAAATCACGGAATCTAGGTGAAGGCTTCTGGGAGTCCTCACTCTACATATATGTTCCTCAGCACCAGGAATGCCAACTTAGCTTCCTTTTTCTACTTCATGCAAGACAGAGTTGACAGCTTCAAAAGCAAGCTTAATCCAGGAGCACTATGATGTTATGAATTTATTGATGAGGTTTTGGAATAACCTATTCAGACAAAAGACATCAAAACAATAATTATGTTGAAAAAATACAGACCTTAAAACCCATTGAGCAGCATGAAATGAGACAATTTTGTACTTAGAGTGTTCCAGAAGAAGAGGAATCACAGGAAACATAATCAATGAAGTAATTGCTGAAAACCTCTCTTATCTTACCAGAGAGATAGATATTTATGCCCAGAATATTCAATTACTATTAAGAGAGTTAACCAAATGAGACACTCTCGGCAGTAGATGACGCTCAAGTTGTCAAAAGCAAAAGTCAAATGAAAATTGTGACCAAAAAAAAACCCAGACTTTGTAAGGGAATATTTCAAATAAATTACCAACAGCATGTTGTTAAGCAGAAACTTTAAAAGCCAGACAAGAAATGTTTTAAATACTTCCCCTTCCACATAGTTCCTCTTCTACTCTGCTTTTCCTTACCTCGGTTTAACCATTCCTGTCCTATTTCCCCCCTTTTATTCCTTAAAAAAATATTTTTTCTTACTTTATGTTCTAATCACTCTGTCTCCTTGCCCAACTTCTCCCTGATACTCACCCAAGTCCATATGCCTCCCTCCCCCACCTCTCTCTCTGACACACACATGCACATGCATGCACACACACACGCGTGCGCACACACACACACAGTGTTCTATTTTCATGAAAGCTCATTGCCCTTGCTAATTTCTTGGCCTCATAATATCTTACTATTTCTGGATTTAGCAGCCACACATATCTAAAAATTCAAAGATTCAAGTCTTAACACAAGTGAGTGAAAACACTCCTTTTGGAGCTGCTCAATCTACAGTAATTACTCTCCTGGGTAAGCATTCCATTAACTGTAACACAAATATTGTGGTTACAAATACTAATCACTTCCTGATGTAGGTAAGGGCAGCTTCACAGGTGTAAACCCATAGCTGTAACTATTCTACCAGGAGCAAAACTTGTGTCAGGACAGGTCATAGACCCTAGGAGAGAGCCTGCCACTATTACATTGCCAAATGAACATAGTTGTAAACTGACTCCTTATGATTATTGTCATTTTCACAAATTATATCTCCATGTTGTGAAAATTCAATTATCTATTAAGATACCAAAAACAATAAATGTGTTTGACATCTTTCGTATTAATGTTTTCTTATAATGTTTTTGTATTAAAGAAAATAGTTCATGAAGTTTAAAGAAAGTCTAGCACAGGTTATGCAACCAAGAAGATTTGAAAATCTTTTTAAAACCTAGGTTTTATCATTCTTCCTTTACAAATAGTCTTAAACACGATCCTAATTTAGTCATTGTCACAGATGACTTGATATTTTATAGATGTATAAACAACACATAAGCTATATAAATTAAACATCAATGTAGCTGTTAAATTATATATCAAGCTATTTAATTCTGGGTAGGTAGCTACTTTTGAATTTTATTTTTGAGATAGTAAGTCAATTGCAATATATTCCCCCTCCCTTTCCTCAGTCTGCCATTCTTTTGTGTAGGGTTGAAGCTTGAAGAAGTTTTCCTGTCCAGTTTGGTATGTGCTCTGGTGTTGTCCTTTTTCATCTCATGTTTGGGCAGGCATGGTAGTGTAATTTCATGGACGTAGCTTTGACATTAATAGTAGAATAATTCTCACAGCATATTCCATGATCCTCTGGCTCTTAGAATCCTTTTCTCCCTCGGCCACAGTGCTTTGAGCTTGGGTGTGGGAGTGTTTTATACTGTATTTCTTGGAACTGGACTCCACAAATCTTCATTTTGATTGGTTGTAGTTTTCTGCACTATTAGTTTAGCTAGTTAATGGAGACCGAACATCCTGAATTTTCAGCAGCTAAATTATAACACAAAGTTTACTTTGTGCTTGATACAAATGTTCAGGAAAGCTAATAGCAAATTTCTGCCATGGTGTTTTCTAATTGAGTCTTCTGGAGTCACTACTGGAGGAAAGGGAAAGCTGTGCTTCCCTGATGGGTGATAGCTCTAGTCAGAAGGTAAGGTACATAGGTCCTACCTCCAAGGCATCAGTCAGAGGGAGCTACTTGGCCTTCTGTCAGTCACTTCGGTGTAAGAGGAAGAATATTATGAAGACTGTAGCTCTACTCAAACAAACAAAGAAATATGATAGCTATGAATCTAAGACTAGGGAAATGAATCAGGAGTGCGGCAGTTGCACGGTGTGTCTGGAACATGGCTTTCCATACACAGAATTTGCCTACCTGTCTATCTCTTTCTTTGTCTCTCTTTCTGTCTCTTAACACCTTAACACACATGAAGGGAAACAGGAACACAGACAGACAAATATCTGCCCACAGGCACACACACACACACACACACACATTCTTACAGAGAAGCTAATATTGCTCAGCTCCTCCCCAGCTACAATGATTACTAACTTTGGGGCAGAAAACAGTAAAATCACTCATATATTTGCAATTTTATCCTTAAATTAAATAATTATTTGTTTTCTTTCTTTTCAATCTAACCTTTATAGAAAATTTTGATAAAATTATATTGAAAATTAAATTAGAATAAACCATTTCTATTCTTTTTCCTTTATTGCCATTTGTTGACCTTAAAATGGGTCAAATTTTTAGTGATATTTCAGCAATTCTGAAATATATAATAATAATTGCATGCCCCTTTAAGTTTGTATATACATAAGCAACTTGTATATAAGTAATTTATTTATTTTCTTTGCAGTTTAAGGGAATGGCTAGGTAAACAGAATATATAACTAAACAATTTGTCCTTACAATATTTTCTTAGAACATGAAAACTGACAAAGTAATTTTCTTTAGAAGGGAGTTGTATACTGAAATTTACCTTAGTCTGCCTTCACATCTAATTAATAATTTGACTTGATGCACAATTCAGATAGATGTTAATTATCTTCACAATGTTGAAGGATTTGATTTGTTGTTATTGTTGTTGCTGTTATTTTCCAGGCTTGTTTTTGAGAAGCCTCTTGTCATTCTGTATGAAGAGTGTTTTCATATTACTTCTCTAGAAGTTTGTGTAATTACTACTTTCATGGCCTTTTAAATTTCAGGATAATAAATAATCATATTTGTCTCTTTTCATTTATTTTAATAGGGAATAAATGACCCAGTAAATCTCAGAAGCTGGTGTCTCTTAGTTCAGAGGATAGTTAACCAGAATTTCAGCTTGCTCCTTCTTGTTTAATGCGTGCCTTAGGAACTCCCATTATTTGTGGCTGAAACTTTGTAAACAGTTCTTTAATAATTTGATCTCTTTGAATTTCTTATTTTTGTCCTATTTTGCAAAAAGCGTCAACTTTAGGCTTCTTCTTTTTATTCATAATACTTTATTGTTAATTACCATAGCTTTGTGTTGTCTATTTTATGATATTGTGATGTTTTCATATAGATTCATGAATTTATATTATTTTAGGAAAAAAGTAGGTATTCACAATTTTTTTATTCTTTGAAAATGTCATATGTATATAAAACTTATCTTGGCCACATCCATCCATGTTGTCCTTCCTTCCCACTCTGCTATCCTGAACGTTTCTCTTATTACCTCAGAGCTTCATATCTTTTCTTTTTTTTTTATTGAGAATAAGAAAAAAAATTCCGCCTCCTCCCAGCCTCCCATTTCCCTCCCCCTCCCCCCACTTCTCTCCCCCTCCCTCTCTAATCCAAAGAGCAGTCATGGTTCCCTGCCCTGTGGAAAGTCCAAGGTCCTCCCCCCTCCGTCCATGTCTAGGAAGGTGAACATCCAAACTGGCTAGGCTCCCACCAAGCCGGAACATGAAGTAGGATCAGAACCCCTTGCCATTGACCTTGGCTTCTCATCAGTCCTCATTGTTCGCCATGATCAGAGAGTCCGGTTTTATCCCATGTTTTTCAGTCACAGTCCAGCTGGCTTTGGTGAGCTCCCAATAGATCAGCCCCCACTGTCTCAGTGGGTGGGTGCACCCTGCGTGGTCCTGACATCCTTGCTCGTGTTCTCCCTCCATCTGCTCCTCATTGGGACCTTGGGAGCTCAGTCCAGTGCTCCAGTGTGGGTCTCTGTCTCTATCTCCATCCATCACCAGATGAAGGTTCTATGGTGATATGAAAGATATTCGTCAGTATTGCTATAGGATAGGGTCATTTCAGGTTCCCTATCCTCAGCTTCCCAAGGGACTAACTGGGGACATCGCCTTGGGCTCCTGGGAGCCACTCTAGGTTCAAGTCTCTTGCCAACCCTAAGGTGGCTCCCTTAACTAAGATATGTGCTTCCCTGCTCCCCTATCCAACCTTCCTTTATCCCAATCTTCCTGTTTCCCAAAGTTCCCCCAATCCTCCCCATCTCACTTTTCTCTCCCAGACCACACTTATCCCCAACCAACCCCACCCCCAAGATCCCAATTTTCTCCCCGTCAATTTTATCTACTTCCCTTAGCCAAGAGGATAACTATATGTTTTTTCTTTTCTTTAAAACTACTATGTTCAATTAGTGCTGTCTATATGCATATATATATATACCACTGAGGTAAGAGGAACCTACCAATGGTGCCCCCTCTCCCTCTAGCAGCAGCTACAAACTAACATTTGATTCTCAGTGAGACATCAAGAGCCTCTCCCCATCCATGTTGTAATAATTACCTCTTGCTCTATGGGAGGTCCTGCATGGGTTGTAGTTGTGACTTCCTGTGTGCAGCAGTCCTCTGCAGCCTAAAACACAAACCTTTTTGCCTACATTTCCATGAGATTCCCTGAACTGTGGGAGATAAGAGTGGGATTATTCGAATCTTTGAAGTCTGGAAATGAAAGTGCAATCTCCATTTATAGGGGTGGCAACATTCTTTATAACAGATACTTCCAGTAACATGTCTGAAAATCATGAGTCATTTGCAGGTATCTTGAAACCCAAAAGGAAGGATCCAAAGTGAAAATATAGATCAAATCTCAATGTCTGCCACACCCATAAATATTAATTGTCACTTTTCCAAACATATATCCATGATTTTTTTCTGTTCTGAGTACCTCTATTTTAGTCTGCATACATTATAATACCCCCAACTCTGTCAGAATATAGGAAGAGGCACTTCTTGTACAGAGAAGAGAAGTCATTATAAACTTCTGAACTACACCAGTTAATCTCACTTTTCTAATTAATTAATTAATTAATTAAAGATTTCTGTCTCTTCCCCACTGCCGCCTCCCCTTTCGCTCCCCCTCTCCCAACCAAGTCCCCCTCCCTCGTCAGCCCAAATTGCAATCAGGGTTCCCTGCCCTGTGGGAAGTCCAAGGACCACCCACCTCCATCCAGGTCTAGTAAGGTGAGCATCCAAACTGCCTAGGCTCCCACAAAGCCAATACGTGCAATAGGATCAAAAACCCATTGCCATTGTTCTTGAGGTCTCAGTAGTCCTCATTGTACGCTATGTTCAGCGAGACCAGTTTTGACCCAGGCTTTTTCAGACCCAGGCCAGCTGGCCTTGGTGAGTTCCCGATAGAAATCCCCATTGTCTCAGTGTTTGGGTGCACCCCTCGCGGTCCTGAGATCCTTGCTCGTGCTCGCTCTCCTTCTGCTCCTGATTTGGACCTTGAGATTTCAGTCCGGTGCTCCAATGTGGGTCTCTGTCTCTGTCTACTTTCATCGCCTGATGAAGGTTAATATTCAGGAGGATGCCTATATGTTTTTCTTTGGGTTCTCCTTATTTAGCTTCTCTAAGAACCAGAATTATAGGGTCAATGTCCTTTATTTATGGCTAGAAACTAAATATGAGTGAGTACATCCCATGTTCCTCTTTTTGGGTCTGGCTTACCTCACTCAGGATAGTGTTTTCTATTTCCATCCATTTGCCTGCAAACTTCAAGAAGTCCTTGTTTTTTACTGCTGAGTAGTACTCTAATATGTCATTTCCTTTCTGAGAAATATAAATTGGATGTCCAAGAAGCCTTGACTCTGTAGTACATACAACCTTGCAGCTCTCCTAACACTATGGTGTTAAAACACAATGAGGGTGGAATTTCCTTAGGTATTCTCAGTTAGAAGCCATGCTTCTGTTGGCCAGCTTCTCAAATTGTTTCATGGTTCTCCCTCATCTTCTCTGGATTCTTTCATTTCTTGTGGCTTAAAAAAAAAAGGAAAGCAAGAGAGAAGCTATTTACTGTCATTTTAAGCAGGTTTTTCAGATGGAACAAATTTCAGTATATGTCTTTGCTCTGTCTTCGGTAACAGGAGGATTTCTTTTAAAATTTTAATAGAATGTATTATTTCTTACATTTTAAATTCTCAGTATTTTCTTATCACTGCTATACATAAAAGAGGAACATAATGAAAACAATAAAAGATGTTAAAAGCAAAGTAGATTGTCTAGGTATAGAAGGAAGAATGAAACGTGTTTAACATGAAGTTATTAAGTTCTAAAAATCAGGATTGTGTGACCAAGGATAGCAATGTCTATATACTTGTTTAAAATCTTTAGGCAGCATATATAACCTATATAACTTAAATAAAAATATCCTAATAATATTTCCAAATAAAATAATTTTATTATTCATTTTCAATTTTTTATTACATAAGTGCATAAACTATGATTTGATCAAGCCCAGCCCCTTTGTTTCCCTCAAGCTAAACTCATAGTCGACATAATTACTTATCAAATTTTTATTTACTACTATGCAATATTAAAAAACAGCTCTTGATAAATGTGAATCAAATTCAATAAATTCTTTCACAGAATAATGAATGAATGAATGTTTGCTATCTATTAAACTTTACCTTATAAACCTATGATGAACTTCTTTTCAAATTTCCCACACATTTTAAAGAAATTTATTCTTTGAGCAGACAAGGTAAAAGACTCAGAAGCCCCTGACCTGAGATGGTTGTTGTGGTGTTTGATCTCAAGGCTCTTAGCCTACTGTAGCTACCATTGCCTTAAGAAATTTCCTGTTTTCTCCCATATCATTGTGTGATTCTTGAGAATTCATCAGTTTGCTTACCAAAACAATCATTTATTGTGTTTATTTTCATTCTCCTTATAATGATAAAATATGGATACATTCAGATAATCTATGGGGAGTCAGGAGATCTAGAATTCAGTCATGACCATAATGTCATCCCTGGTACAAATAATCAGTTGATTCACAATGTACCAAGGAAGTATGGAATTTATTTTTCAGATCTTTTAGTTCTAAGAGCATAAAGAAATTAACCCTTGATTTCTTATTTTGTAAATTAAAAACACATCATCAAATCATTTTCATCACAATTGTTGCTTTTCAACTCTAAAAATAATATATGGACAATTGTAACTTTTTCACCGGTTTGATGGGGAAGATAATGAGTTATCATAAATAGTTAATATAGTGAAATTTTTTTAAGTATGTGATATGTACTACTCTGAGTCGGATGAGTACGTGCTATGATTTACAAGTTGAAGTCAGAGGAAGTGTCAGACCTGATCATCTACTGTATTTGAGACAGGGTTCATTTTGTTTGAATAAGCAAGCAATGTGGTCCATGATCTTCTGGGGATTTTTCAAATTCCCTCATCCTAATCAATGTCGACGCCTTGCAATGGCCATCCCATGCTACAGTACTTGACTTAACATAAGACCTAGAGATTGCACCTCACATCTTCCCCTGTTCATGGTGATTGCTTTACCCATTGATGTTCACCCCAAGCCCTAAAGAAATCTTATTAAAGTTCATGGTCTATACAAATACTCAGTAAGACTGACTAATAGTGTTTTGTTTAAATACGAATGATTGAAAAATGTTTGTGTCATTAAATTGATTTTTAAAAATAGTATGCTATCTATTGTCCAGCACAAGATATTTTCAATGTTTTGCATGAATCTAACATCATTGTCAGAAATGGTATGAATATAACTGTGAATGATAGAATACTAGTATACTCTTGACATCTTAGCAGAATGATAATATTCATTATTTTCAATTTGTAATATCAGGTACATTTAGTTTTATCTAGTTATTCACATAGGGCCCAAAACAGTGTTTTTCCTAAATAACAAGATTTTCTTACTGTGAATTTTGCATTTATTTTCTCCTCAATGTTCTTTTGAAATAGCCAATTTTTAAATGTTTCATTGTTTACAAATCATTTAAAATTCAGTTTGATTTACAGATTCTCCACCATCTGATATCACAGGATTTTCTTGTTGTGTTGATCCTTTTTCTGCCCTTTATACCATCAAGAGTGGGAGGGTTTACTCTTGCCTAAGGCATAGGAGAACCCTCTTCCTCTGGGCATCAGATAAGTCCTTCCCGGTAAGAATGAGATCCAATAGCATGTGACATTCAAACTTCAATATCTATAAATAGTTTTCTAGTTTTGTGTCTTGAAGATCATTAAAGATTTTAGTAAAATGGAAATATCTTTTATGAATTTGAAAGGCTTTTGTTACAGATAAATAAATAAATAATAAATAAATATTTTGAAGGTATATTGATGAGGAGCTCTGTCACCCAATCACATCCAGTTAAGGCATGGCTACCTGGAGTCCAGGAAGAAAAACAGGGAGGATTCAGGTTCTCTCTCTCTCTCTCTCTCTCTCTCTCTCTCTCTCTCTCTCTCTCTCTCTCTCTGCAGGGCTCCCACTGGACAGATAGGATGTCAGACCTCCCACTCTTGTAGCATCAGTTTCCCCTTATAACCATTATTGTACCGACCTAATTTGCAACAGTATATTATTCTTTTTATTAAACAAATATTCCCATTTCTAAAAAGGTCACTCTTTTATGTACATTTGAATTAAAATACCTACTATCCATAAAATATAGAATAACATGATTATTTTATTACCTTATTCTCTTTTCTCTAAACTATTTTGTCTTAAATTTATTAATATCATGAATTTAACATTTATCAAATGTGTTACATATTTATGCATTGAATTCCTATGCTTTTCTTCTACATCAAAATACACATAATAATCAGTATAATTCATCAAAAATTCAATTTACTTATAGACTCACTGTTAAAGAGATCTGAATTCATGTTCTTCATACTTATGACTAATCATTATTCTATTAATATAAATATATGGTATGATTAAATTTATAATTTTTAAAATCGAACAAAGTTATAAAAATATGTTTTGATATAGAAGACATTGAAACTCAGCTTTTATTTAAGTTATCTTTACTTGAATGTGACCATTGAAGTGAGGCATTATATTGACTCTCATTTAATTGATTTTGAATGCAAGTTCAAAATTAATGAAATATTAAAAAATATCTCACATAGTTTAGTTGAATGGAATCAAAGATATTTTGTTATTGTAATATTTGAAAGCTTTTGATATGTGTCAGTTCTCCTGGGTTATATGATAAAGTCATTTTGTGGTATATCATCAAAGAATATATCTATCACTATAAAATGCTTTTTAAAATAAATTAATTTCAAATCAATTATTTGCTTAAAATACAAAATTCAGAACTTTTATTATATATTTAGAAGTAGTAAAATATATTTTGATGTTATTATTATATAATATCCTTTCAGTTAAATAACACAACACTTATAGAAGATGAGAATTTCATACTGAGCACATGTATGTTTATAAAAGTCCTTATTTTAACACAGGCTTTAAACATAATTCTGATTCATTTTATAGTCAGATTTTATTGATGTATCTCTTCAACAGTGGTACTCTCTAGACATTTCTCTTTGAAGATGCAGCAGCATTTTTTCTTCAAAGTATTTCATGTTTAGAAATACTGACCAAACACGTTGTTTTTAATTTGCCTTAAAGTAGCATTTGTGTAGACAGTGCTACTTTTTGTTACAAGTTATGTTGAAATATTAATTTCTGTTAAAAGTCATAGGAAGTCTGAAATTCACATCCACAGGCACCTTGCATTCAACCTACCCAGCTTCTCAGAGCATGCTTGCTTCTTAATTCATTCTATCAATGTCTATCTTCTGACAGTTGCTGCTGCAGATATTAAAATCATCTTATATCACTTCTGTTTACATATTCTATTTGTGTAGACTTCCCCATTCTTTATTATCCTTACTGTTAATGTCCTTTTACTTGTTATTGTTTCATATTTATTATAGATTTCCCAATAATTATTCATAAGCCCCTACTATTATTAACATTATGCTTTTTTTATAATACATCATTTTAACATACCCCACTTTTTTTTTTGCTTATTTTTTTCCAATGATTTTTTTTCCCTTGAGTCCTTCCTGATAATTCATTTCTTCTCCTCAAACCTATAATAACATGGAGTTCAGACAATATGTAAACAGCAATAAATACCTGTTCATTCTTTTTTCTTGGTACCACAAATGCTAAAGGAGCAGAAATTACACATTAAGTGAGAAAATGGAACTTAATGCTTGCTTAAGGAAAGATGTCAAATTACAAATCTTTATTATACTATTACTGAGATGTTTTTCTGATAATATATAGTTACCATAGAAAATTATAGTGAATAACCACCATATTTTTAAGGAACAACAACAATTACAAATGGAAACTTCTTAAAGTTCCAAAGAAGATGGCTTGTGGTTTCTACAAATTATTTTTTTATATTACAATGAATACCTACTGTGATAAGTATACTTGTTTTCATGATACTCACATTTTCATAGACTCCACAGCTCATTTTCTAAATTCTAATATCCAGCTTATTCTGGGATTGTTGACTGTGTCAGAAATATAAACAAGTTGAGGACGTGCAACACCAAAAACACAAGACACTTAGGCATGATTGTTTTGTCGTGAAGGTTGTAAAATAAGCAATCACTGGTAAAACAATTAGCTCAAACTCCCTATTTGACTAAGGGAATCCAGTTGTCTTAAATTCCCTTGTATCATATTTGAACAACCAGAATTTCTAATTTCTGTCAGGATAAAGTAGCCTGGAATTTAACCCCACTCTCAAATTTTTCAAGGGATCATAATGCTTCAAACTTAGTAGTTTTCCTGTTCTGAAAAAAAAAAAAAAAGACAGTCTTCCTTCCTAAAATTCCTGAATTTCTTAAAATTTCCTCCTCTTAATCTACTTATTGTTAGATTATTCCAGAGGGCTAACTATGGATATAGAAATAAAAGGACAGTTATTACAACACAGTCTTTCCATCCATTAGGAAAACAGTTTTGGCTATGAAACAATTTTTGCCATTTATATCAGAAGAAATTTTAGAGTCATTTTGTCATTAGTTCAAACTGCTCTCATATATTCACACTTGAAATAGTAATATGTTAATGGATGAAAGCATAATCTTTGCATTCTTGGTGTCATCATTTCTACTTTTCCATAATAAAACATGTTTTATCTTGCAGAAAAACATTTCGCAGGTGAAGGCTTATCCATGTGTATGTCACATTTAGTTTAAAATGCATTCTCTGATCTAAATTTTAACTACAGACCTGCTTCCTGA